AGTTACTTTATCTAGATCTTTATTTACATATTTAAAGAGATATTTGATTGAATTAGATTTATTTCAATGTTCAATGTTGTTTGATCTTGAAACCTCATCAAGAGTTGTGGGTTGTATGTCACAACAATTCGATTATCCAACTCGATATTCTTTTTCATTATATTGTGGTGACCTCTAAGGTTCTTCTTTTGTATATCAGGTAGTTATTCCCATCAAACGATGTCTTATCAAGAAATTTTTTGGGAAAATGTTTCATAAATTTATCATTCTCCATATATAGAGATCTAGGATCATTTATGCTACATGGATCATGCATCAATAATCGAGTTACGAACTCATAAAATCTAGGATATTTATCTTTATTATGAACCTCTACACATGTCACACGATCAATTGAGTCAAGCGATTGAAGTTTATCCCTCTAGTGTAACCATATTAAGATATGTGCATGAAGCAAGCTTCTCATTTGAAATTCAAAAGAGTACAAACATGCACAAAATCATTACATTCAAATGACAATATTTTTAATTGAATGTCCATTTAAATTGTTTTTTATTATACAATATCAAATATTTAAACAACTTAATTTTTTTATGTTATATACCATTTAAATTTCACACACACAAACACAAAATCTAGGTTTACTAAATTATTACAAATATATAATTCTTCTCACCCCCTGAATTCAAAAAATATACGACAAAAACATTGGTGATTTTATTATTCTTCTCCCCTGCATTTATTTAACAAACTTAGATTTCCGATCCTGTAATTTTAATATAAAAAATCATGATTCTTCTCCGCCAGATTAATTTACATTAACAGAAATATATGATTTTAATTTCTATGATGCATTAATGTGATTTTTTCTCTCCTTGGCCCTTTGCACTAATTAAAAATTGACTCTTTTTTCTTGTATTATTAAAAGTGTGAAAACATAAATTAACAATCATATGATAAGAAATATAAATTTTACAATACATTAAAAATATAATGATTATTCTCCCTCGTAATATTTCAAAAATTATGTGAATGCAAAAAAAATAGTGATTCTATGATTTTAATGAAATTTTACAAAAACTATTTCACAATTTTTATTCATTTTTTTGCTTTCTTTTTCAAATATTCAATCATTTAAGTGTGTGAAAGTATTTTGGTCAATACATAATGGTTTATAAAATACAAAGAGTTACAATTTAAAAATTATATTTCTCTTTGATGTTGTAGTTTAACCTAAATTTTATTCACTTCTGCACATAAGATATTCTTCGTACTTCTCCTTAAAATACTGATTATTCTTGCATCTAAATTTTAATTGTCACAGATTTTCACGCGTTTCTCGACCTCCAAATCTTAATTTTCCTTATAGAAATATTTTTGTGAAAGTCCATGTTATATCGCTTCATCTCTAAGAATATCATTTTTTTTAATTTCTTTGTATGATTGCGAAAATGAAGAAAAGAGAATCGAGCCATACTTCATCCATCTTCTTTATTTTCATGCATCAATATAGTGAATTATCACCTAATATAAATTTATAAATCTTAAGTTAAATCTTAAATATGGTAAGTTACAGTGCAAACCTTCTTTGATTAAAATAATAGGTCAAATTAGAAAGATAAAGTACAAAAATCAAATTAAATAATCCTGCTAAGTAATACTCCGTATGGTTCAAAAACTTAATATATATAATTTTAATATAGGGATTAAGAAGTATTTGTTATTTTACATCACTATTTAAATAAATGGAATAAAGCTAACTTCTCTTAATCATAACATAAAGAAATATGAAATTTTTTTAAAGATAAAGAGAGTAGTTTATATATTCATCGAAACTATTATTATAAATGAAATGAAAAAAAATTAAAAGAAATAAATATCTCTCTTTCTTAATTAAATGTACTCAATGATAATAAAATCATAAATAATGTTAGTGTAATATAATAAGTCCCAACGATATATTTTGTTTTAATCATTTGTCTTTTATAATATAATAAAAATAGGTTTAAATATGTTTTTATACCCTATAAAATAAGAA